TATAATAGAGATGGATGATGATGATGATATTTGCAATTGTAATAACAAGTATAATTTTTTGGAAGGTTACAAGTGAGGTAAATATTGTTTCTTAACTGAAATTTATAGATGAAATAGAGATTATTAACGTTAGAAATTATTACAGTTATAAAAAAATAAAAAATAAAAAAGTAAACGTGCAGGCTACGCAATGCAGACTTTGCATGCATCTGAAACATGCAAGCAGGCTGGCAGGTGCCAGCCTGCATGCTACGCCTGCTGCAGCAAGCTAGGTTGGGGAGAGAAAGCAACTCCCCACTTTTTTCAAAAAAAAAAAATATTTTGTTTTTTTTTCTTCACGGGCCAGCGGGTTAACCGAGGTCCGTGAAGGTGCAACCCGCGAAGCCCGCGGATTACACCTCCTTGACTCGTGAATCGCCCGCTCGAGTCACGAGTTGGCCCGCGGTCCCGAGTCGATCCGGGTAGGTTTTCGCGAGTCTGGTCAGCCCGTCCGCCTTAACACCTCTAATTGCACACACAAAAATGGCTCAGATTCGCGTCATTTCATCTATTCATAGTCTTTACTATTTTGGTCATAACTTTCTCTTCCAATATCCAATTAAGGTGATTCAAAATGCATTGAAAATATAACTCAAAGAGCTACAATTATTAAAAATTAAAAATTTCCAATTCAAACGTTTTATATCCAAAAAATGGGTCTCAATTTGATACTTAAAATTTAGAGCAAAACTTTCTCGACTGAAAAATTGATTTGTGAAAATACTTTAACTATATTACACTCATTTGACCACCAATTGTATCCAATTGATTATATATGATCTTTAATTATTGTTTTATGGTTCGAATCAACTATTGGATGTTTTCACTTTGATCCTCAAACTTTGAATTTCTTTCGTTTTTGCCCTTTTTCGTTTCTTTCGTCCAATTCTATCAATTTGCCTTGAGTTTTACCTAACGAACAAAATTAACATCTAATTAAGTCATAAGTCATCAAAATTTATTATAATTAATCTCAGGAGACAAATCTATATTCATAGAGCTTGAAGAGTTAAATGGCCATATAAATTTTGGAGATGCATCAAATGTTGAAGTCAAGGGAAAAGGTAAATTCTTATTCAAATGAAGAATAG